AGACAACAGAGAACAGTGTACCCTCTGTCCCTCCCCCGCCTCCCACCTGCCTTGATATTCAGACGCGTGTTTCTTTGAAACCAATTTATTTATTCATTCATTCGATATCCACTGAGCCCCCTCCACACGTACCAGGGGTGGGGAGATGGTAGAGCAAACTCGAACCCAGCCCCTGCCCTCATGGAACTTTTGGTGTTGGGGGGGGGATTGTTCTACTTCAGCATTATTGAGTAACCAACCACCCCCAAACTCAGTGGCCGCTGCAAGTTATTATTTCTGCACAGTCCTGTGGGCTGGCTGGACTCGGCTGGTGGTCTCACCTGCGTTTCTTGCACAGTGCAGGCAGGTGGTGGTTGGGGCTGCTGGCAGCTGGGCCTCCGACTGGAGTACCTGGAGCACCCACGTGGCTTGAGCTTCTCGTAGATGGTGGTGTCCCAGGAGACCCGGAGACCCGGGGCAAGCTGCGAGCTTTCTTCTGACCATACCTTACATCCCAGAACGTTACTTCTGGTGCATTCTAGTGGTCGGGAGAGTCCCTAAGGTCCTCCAGCCGAGGGGACAATTGTGGAGTAGAACTGGCTCTGTGGCGGGAACGCGTAAGCTGTCACACAGAGGAGCAGGCGGGACCCTCTTCGGAAATGCAGTCCGCCGCAGGCAGGCAGAGTGCAAACAGATTAGCCGCGAGAGTGTCAGTGCAGCTTGTGGCAAGGGCAGGGGCGGCGAGGGGGAGGATGGTGGAACCCGCATGACGCGGGGCCATGGGGGGCCGGCCCGGTGGGCGAAGTTGTGGGACGTCTTCCTGGTCGGGAACCAGCGGGTGAAGCCCTTGGCGGAACAAACGCATAATTCAAGGGACTGAAAGAAGTCGGCGTGGCCGTGGAGATGAGACGTCAGGGGTCAGCAGAGCCCCTGCTGGACCTTAGGGGCTGGGACAGGGACCCCGCATAGCCCTTTGAAAAGGTTTACAGATTCCTCGACACTTGGCTCATTTTTTCATGGAGTCTCTGCTGTGGGGGGACCGTGGAGCGGAGTGGATGAGTCAGACACAGCCGGGTTTGGAACCTGACACTTGTGGCCTTGCGTAAGCTTTGTCACCTTCTGGAGCCCCGGCGTCCTCACCCGTGCTCAGCTCACAGGGCCGCCTGGCTGGCTGTTCTCGGAAGGCACCTGGCATACAGCGAGTGCTCAATAAATGCTAGCTGCTCTTGGTTGAGGCCAGGGCAGAAGGACGCAGGCGTGTACGTGGGAAAACCCGCCAGTTGTGAGTTGTCCATGGTGGAGTGTGAGGCTGGGTTTAAGGTGCCATTTCCATCCAGTCCAGCGCACATGGCCCTGGGCAGAGGGCCCTCAGAACGGTTTGGCCGGGGCCTTCCCTGGGGAGCTCCGGGCCACTCCGGGCCATCCCTAGGAGAACTGGGTGTGACTCAGGGGAGGGTGCCAGTGGCCTGTTCGGGAAGTCCTTCCCGACCCCCGAGGCCTCAATGGAAACAAACGAGCTCCGAGGCCTACTGACTGCTTCGTCGGGCCTGGGGCAGTTGATGGGTCACCTGGAACTCAGGCCCAGGTCACAAAGGAATCAGGCAGGGCCCTGGGCTCTGCCTTGGTTGAGGACCTGCGTGGGCCTCCAGGGCAGGACGTGGACAGGCAGGACCACCCCGCACTAGCCAGAGCTGAGTCAGAGGAATAGGGAAGGGCCATTCATTTGGTCCCCAGGGGCTTACTGAAGGGCTGTTCAGGGTGGTGGGAAGGAGGTGACTCCACAGAGTGTACCCCAGAGCCGTCTGTCTCCAGAGCTCCCACCTCCCTGCCTTGGAGAGCCTGGGAGCAGGGTGGCTGCTTACTACCCATCACAGGAGGGGAGCTTCAGGGAAGTCCCGATCCCCCACATTTCTCCAGGCCACCAAGGCTTCTTCCGTCTTTGGCTTCCTGGGGGTCAGGCTGGCTGGCGTGGGACCCCAGACACTGAGGTCCCCACCTCCCCTCTCGTGCCCCTTCCGTGCAGCCACCTTGCCTCCCCGTAAGTAGACGGTGGCGGGGGAGGTGACAGTTCCTTAAAACAGATTTATACTCTCGGACGACTTTATGGGTTTTTTTTGTCTTATAAAAACCCAAGAGTTGACGTTCTGATTTATCTACTCCTAAGTCAACAGGATGTGCCAGATTTAAAGAGCTCGAGTGCATTGTAACGTTTGTGGTTCCAGTTGTGGATGAGATGAGCTGTTCCGGAAAGTGTGGCCAAGTGCATATGGCAAAGACAACAACAACAAAATAACAGGGGATCATTGAAATCTATTAAATTGTGTGTTAAGTAGAGTAGCACAAGCGTGGTGTTGAACGTAACTTATCATCTGGAGAGTCAGCGTCGTAGATAACGCAGAATTATGGCTTTTTCCTCCCTTTGGAACATTTTTTTTATTAAGGGAAGAGACTGTAAACTAGGAATTTCAGAGCTGGCGCTTGACTGTGTCACCATGGTTGTGTGAGGACTTGTAATGTTGGAGGCTCCAAATGATATTTCTCATTTCTTTGCTTTCTGTCTTTCTATTTCTTGCTGTCTCTGTAGCAGCAGATCAGATTGCCTGAGATAAATATGCTGCCTGGCTTTTAATGGGGTTTCTGTATTGTGAGGAGTTGGCATGCTCTGATAATGAAAGAACCTAAAAATTGTACATCCCTTAATTGGTAAGAAGAGAGATGTTTTGATGGGCCACAAATGGAAACATTGATTTTTTACTGCCTCCGCACGGATCCAAGTGGCGTGTCATCCCACGTTCCCCACCGCGGAAGGCGGAAGGCCGTTGAGCTGATCTGTGTTTGCAGGTTCTTGGTGTCGTGTGCTTGGAAGTGCAAGTTCTGTGCAGAGGGGAGAAATAGAGCCTTTGTAACATTGTTTCTAAATTGAAATATTTATAGGACTGTGGCTTCCACCTCTAATCAAATAAGCATTCTTTGCTTCTTTTCTCTTTCTTGCTTGGATGACCAGCCCTTGGGGACTTAAAGGTTGTGTGCTGAAGGCTTTTTTCTGGAACTGCAGTGTTAGTGTGACACACATGCGCGCAAACGCGTGTAGACACGCCTTTGCATATGCATACATGTTTGTGTCAGTGTCTACACATAATGGTGATTTCTCTCTTTAATTCTAGTTGGAGTCTCTATATTTTAACAGGCAAGTTTAATCCACTGACATGTATTGGGATTACTGATATATTCTGCGTGTTCTATTTACCACGCCTTTTTTTGCATTTCGATTGACAATTTCTTGCTGTGTCCTGTGACTCTCCCAGACCAAGGCTGTGCCCCATTTCCCCCAGCCGTGCAGGGCGATGCACTAGCAGGGGTCAGGATGTCCCGTCCAACATCTGTAGGGCTCTGGGGACAGTTGTATCCCGCTGGCTGGATGCCAGGTGCCTTACCTGTGAAATGGGAATAATGAAGCTGAACCTGTCTGAGGGTGGGGGCAGGACCACATGACTGCTTTTAGCTACAGGGTGTGTGAAACTGTGAAATGAGTCTACACAGAAATAACTGTGGCTTTAAAAAAGTACAGAACATTCCACAGACGCAAGACATCGTTATCAGGTCGTTAACTCACTTTTCCGTGCAGACTAGCCACCTGTCTACACAGTGATAAGCAGAGAGTAGGTATTTTATTTGGAAGAAATTGGTCGAGTGATTCCAAGGCTGGTTCCACCTTCTAGGCTGATACTGGGGTACACATTAAGGCTCAGGTTCACGTTAAGCTTGTGATTTGACTATTTGTGGTTTTGCACGCATGTGTGCTTCTTGGATTCCAGAATCAGGGCGTTTTTGCAAAGATCTGAGCCCACATCACATTTTGAGGCTTGCCGAGTAGAGGATGAACTTGGCTACGAGATCTCCCAGGTCTAAATTGCAAGGCTCTGGGCCAAACAAAAAGTTTAGGTGCGTTCAGAACAGCTGACGGGGGCCGTGGAGGGGTGTGTAAGAGAACTTGGTTTTTAGGAGACAAAACGCGAAGGCATTTTCGCCTCCCTGATGGGTCACAACCCTCATCCTCCGTACACAGGGGAAAGATGGCAGGAAATCCCCGGAGAAGATTTGCACCAAGAATTAAAGAATCTAGTTGAGAATTACAGCACCACATGCTACAACCCCCCCCCCCCCCCTACATTAATAACTAAGAGGTTCCAACA